CAGGCGAGAAGCAGGCCTGACGCTCTCTCTCACTGGCTCCTTACCAATATCCATGGAGTTTGGCCGCTCCTTCGGGATTTCCAACCAAGTGCTTGTAATATGCCTATTTTTAATTAGCCACGAGGAAGTCGCTGGGGACGAGTCGATTGGATCTTTAGCCGATGGAGCACAGGCCAAGCGGCCGCTCTCATTTTCGACGAGCTGGACGGGCGCTTTCGCTGCCTCCCTAGCTAGGTAGGTACCTTGCCCAAGACCGAAGAGTACCAAGGATGTGTACCTGGGTACCTATGAAAGGCGATCAACAAGGTGCCCATGCTTTGCCGGAATGAATATACCTTGACCGACGACAAGACCAAGCGAGTGGCCAACAAGCGATTCATGGCTCGACCCCTTGTCGCTCCAAGGGCGTGCCTGCCAGCAAAGCCATCGGTGTTTGCTTGTCTGGCAATCACTGTCTGGCGTGAGCACGGCTTCGCCCCGCACGATTCTTCTAATCTCAGGTTTAGCCATCGCTCTCGCAACGACCTTAGTTGGCACAGACGCGGATGATCACAAGTCACCAAATTACAATATCCTACATAAGAGTTGGTGGTATGCTGTGGAACACAGCACACCTCATCTCTCCGGCTTGAAGACAGATTGGCAACCTCAGCCCTACACGCGACCGGACAGTGTGAATAATAGATAGAAAGACAGTGACAGTATACAAGGCGTGCTTGATCGATCGTTTCCCAAGTGTCATTCGCACCCGTAGAATGCACATTTGGGTTTAACTCCAAAGAGCAACACTACCCCTTCGGGGTTCTAACACATGGACAACCGCTTTCCAGTGAACCAGTCTCGCGGGACGACTCCGTCTTCGACCCTTGCTGATGTTGCCCTTAAGGTTCTGACGCGGCTGAGCCACCCCATGAACAGCAAACATGAGCCCCAGAGTACCGAGGGGCCTCATTCCCAACTTGAGCCGGATGACCCTTGAGAAGGGATGATGGTGGGCATTTGTACGAATCAGCGTATGTTCACCTGCATTCTCCGGGCCTTTCCGGAGTAAGCACATGATTTGATCGAAGGAAAATGACCCTGCTGCTAATTGTTGAGCATCTCAGGTAGGTCACAACAACCCAGGCACTCGAGTTCAAACCCTGGCATTGTGTCGGGAAGCGTATCCACAAGCAAGATCAGTCTCTTTGATTGCGGTGTGAACGTTAAAACCTGGAACAAATGTAACAGTGCTACATGTACATGCACATCTCGATTGTACTATATACCAGGACGATCAGTGCCGTCTAACCCCGACCTTGAAGCTACCTTACCCTTGCTACACCAGGGAGCTAGTCAGCTTTTGTGCTCGGTGTGTGTGCTAGAGAGGAATGGCACACGGACCGGCAGCAGTTGCAACCGCACTCATCATCGTTGACAAACAGGCTCGAGGCTCGAATAGCCCATATGTATTGGCACTGTGCACCGCAGGCACGCTCGCTACGGCGAAGGATCCCTTTCCATCCGAGCAGCCGTTGCGATCAAACGACCTAGCGGCCGATAGACTGGGGTGTGTGGGGTCTCCTCCTGCGGGCCAGCTTGAACAGAGTGGGAGGAGCACAACCACACCCTCAATTAGAACAAGTGTCGCAAGCCACAGCGGAACGGATTGACTAGTTTCGCAGCTGGAACCGAGCCGTTAGCGAACACTCGAGGAAGACATGTTGTTTCCCGAGCTGCTGGTTTTGCAGTCAAAGGAGCCACGCTACCTTTCAGGCTGTCAGAAGCGTGCCAGCTCTTCAACGTTTCTGGGCCTGATCGGCGTTGCTAAAAAATCAAGTGCCATGTGTTTGCCGATTGATAATCATAGTCGGACAGAGGCGAGCGCACATATCGACGTGACATGTGCTGGTGCACACGTGAAGTGGTTCTGGAGCATAATGTGTCCGACGGACGCCGGACTGGCCCATCTGTTGTACCGACCTACTTCACGTCATTGGCTTGCCGACTTTGCTGCCTGCCCAATCGTGGGTCTCGGAAACATATGACATAGTGTTGGTCCTAGTTCGATGCACTTCAACGCAATCATAGTGATGGAGCAACAGACGCAGCAACAGGGATCGGCGACGCCGTGCAGCTGATTCATAAGAAGCCCTGGCACGACGTGTTGTGCGTTCTGGACTGGAACGACGACAGATCTCAGGGGGCGATGCTGTTGAGGAGAAAGGAGGAGAGATAAATCAATGGGGGCCGTTGGTAGGGCTGAACATGGTATTGCATCTAAGCGCGCTTGCTGGTTGCTTATTGGCGGCCTGTGCGACTGCACATATCTGTAGGCAGTGTGCATGGGGCGCTGCACTCTCACTGGTAGACCACGTAGCCTGCTTCCACCGCCATTCTTTGGTGCGGCGCTGGCCGCCTGGGTGATGAAAAGGCGGAGGCAGGGGCCTGCCGAGTGAGTCTTGGGGCATAGGTGGGTGGGATAAGAGGGTGTGTGTGAAGGATTCGGGCAGGGAGCTGATGCAGGCTGAGCACCTGGATAAGAACCCAATCCCGGGTAGGACAAGCGATACCCAAGGTCGACTCTTGCTACAGACACACCTTTGCGCTGCAGCCCCAACCTGCCATTAATTCTCTCATCGTAGGTCCCCAGGGCAAGGGTATGGCATCGCCTAGGGAGACATGATCGCTCACAGATCCCCAGCAGCATCCAGTTGCAGGCGTGTCAGAAATCCACGGTTGCATGAGTCGGCCTCCGCGACATGTTATCGTTGTCTTCGTACATTCTATCCGTGTCATTTACAAGAGCAGTGTTACAATGATGGCCCTTCTCCTAATCACCGTTCGCTCTGCCTCGAGCTTAACACTTCCCGTCCCTTTATTCTGTCCATCACTCGATGCGAAGAAACCCCAGACAAAAACCAGACGGTAATTTTCCTCCGACACCTCAACGCCAAAACCGTGGGTATAATGCTTTTACCATGCCATACTCCTTGCCAAGGCAAAATAAGATACGGCAACAACAAGCTGAATGGCTGTAGAAGTACGCTTCTAAGCCTCCTTCCTTCCCCTCACCAGCAATCTTGCCCTGGCTGACAGCGCTTGAGAGGGTGAGGAATATCTATGTTGGTAAACCGTAGAGCTAGAGTGCCCTCAGCAGAAGTGGACAGTACCCACCGTACGCCGTATATACTGTACATGGATTCTAAAGTAAGTCGACTGCATCATAGCCCTACATGACTTGCTGCATTCGACTCGACAACGTTGTCGGAGAGATTGATGAGTAGCTGGGCTAGACATCTCTTCGTAGCTGCATCATCACGAAGAACGTTGGAGAACGTGGCATCGCGAAGCGGCTCGGGAAGACACTGCCGCAAAGCCTCGCGCGCCCGGGCATTGTCGCTCAGTCTAGCGACACTGGGTCAGCGAGACGCTATAACGGAAGGTGCCTTGAGCTTGATTCAACGTACCGAAGGAAGCATCTAACGACATGTTTCAGCAAACGAGCGGTCTGCTGCTCAACTAGCTGAGCGACCATGTTGCTGAGAACGGTGCCGACTGCGTAGAAGCGTTCGTAGGTAGCGCAAATGTAGTTGAGCCCACTGTCGTCCAAAAGAATCTTCTGAACAATGAAGATGGCCACTGTTTTACTGAGCTCCGAGCCTGTCTCCATGATACGAAGACAGAGAGGGATTATCTCGGTCGTCAGGAGGAAGTTGATGACCTCGGAGGAATCGTTCTTGACGAGGGCCCCGATTACACCGAGTGAGGTCAGACGGAGGTACTCAAAAGGCCTGGACTTAGATGTAGTGTTGAGGAAAGGATAGAGAAAAAGAGGAATGTGTGCTGTGCGTCCATTCATCAGTATATGACATACTCGTATCTAGGTATTGCCGTGCTAAGAATTGCTCACCGCTCAAGAAAAGGTTACGAGTATCATTGTGGGAGGCCACACATTGGAGGAGGGCCAAAGCATTGCAAACACGGTTCGATGCGGCTGCAGTGAGTTGAGACGGATTCAAGAGGGTATAGACGGAGATGATCTCTTGAAGCAACGATGTCATGACACCTGTGACGAGTATAGATCAGGACACTTGCTCAATGTATCGAGGCGACAAGACCTCGAAGACTTACCGAACGAGTGCCAGAGTATCAAGGCCAGTTCCGGTACCTGCTCTCTCTTCTTGCTCAGCTCGAGCAGAGCCGCCTCACGCGTGCTTTCATTCAATAAATCGGCAATGTAGGCCATTGTGCGTCGGTTGTCTTCGGATATGTTTTCGTGCCCCGTATCCTGACCATGTGTACTGGCAAGCGAGGCTACATTGTTGTGAGCACCAGTAAGGCGGTTGTAGTGTTGCTGTTGCGCTGCTGACGCTGCGGCGGCAGCAGTCTGTTGGGCATGTTGGTGATGGCCCGGGGGCTGGTGCATCCAAGAAGCGTCAGCCTGTGGGTTAAATTGGTGGTGACCGTAAACGTGGGGCGCGGGCATCATTTTTGTCACGGTAAGTCTTGCTAACTGTTGATGGGTAGTCAAAGACTGATGTCGGCAATCTTTTAGAATGCTTTGCGTAGATGGATAGCGGATGACTGAAGGTTGACCCGCGTATATAAGTTCAAGTCGCTTCGCAGGAAATGCTGCTGATCTTGGGTCAATCCTGCCCTCGAAAGAAGATCACTGGACCATACGCCAGAACCTTGTTGCTGACGTCGCGTTACGCGTCTTACGTGTCGTCGGCGAGGGATGTGATGATGGTAGCACCCTTAGTCTGGTTGACGGGAATGTAGGCGACCGCGACTCTCGAATAGTCAGGTTGGGTGCTGTCGGCAATTTGAGACGTAATTATGGTTCTCTGGGAGAAATATGACACTGGTGTAATCTTCGGGTCGCAGCGAGAGCTATGGACGTTCGTCACAGGCAGACAGGGTTGAAACGTTGGCGAGGCTGCTGGCTGGTGGTTGAGGTTCGAGCAGTGGTGGTTGTTGGGAGCGGGCGGAAACCTAGGGCGAAGAGCCTAGGCAATTGTCTGTGACTCTTACGAGACCGTTTGATTGGCTGAAAGTAATCTGCCCCAAGGTCGGCCCAGAAAAACGTGAAGACCTGAAGTATGGGGGTTCAGTTGTTGCTGTATTGACTGGAATATGTAATAACAATGGACATTAGCTGGAAATCCGGCATAGTGGCTCATCGACTACTGCATAGCCCCGTTGGGCTGCAAGTCCATTAATCTCCCAGGCCCAGGCGTCATATAAGTGTCAGTTGTTTACCTTACTAATCAGGCGAGTCGCACGTAGACAGAGGCGCCGCCCGCCTGGCGCCACCCACCCTGATAGTGGACTTTGGCCGAAGAAAGTATGTTTGCTTGTCCGCTTGCTTCCCATATCAAGGTGAGTCAAGTGCGGATGTCCTGAACGCCCCAAAGTTATCACAATCAGGAGTAATAAACAGTACGGTGTATGAGATCTTGCACCTTGTGGGCCCAGCAGAAATCCATCCAGGTATTTACTTCAAGATTACTGTGCTTGATTGCTGCTCCTTTGACGTACTGACGGCAAAACGGCCGCCAAGTGCCAGAACTGTGAACTATCCGACACGTTCACTTGCTTTATTTGCACTTACATACTTGTATTTCGACTTAAGTAATCCATACACGAAGGGGACAGGAGAAGAAAAGGGTGGCACGAAAATGTAGTTGATCGGGGTAGACCTTCCAGGATTGGTAGACAAGCACACGTCATGTCGGGGACCTCAAACATCCAGACTTATCATGCATGCTGCTATCAACATCGGTACAAAAACGCGCGCTATGGTGGACGATAATAACACGGAAGAAAACGAGGGAACGAATCGACCAGTCCTCAGCAGTCCCATACGAAAACCACACCCAACCTTCCTGCCTGCCCCCCCTTTACCAGCCGTGTCCTGCCCGCAAGCCCGAGACAGGCTAGAGACGGAGCTCTCTCAGTATCTGGTCTGCCATGTTTTTGTATTGCCAGGTATTGCCGACCAGACGCTTGAATTGTATGCCGTGGAGCGACAGAAGGGGGACTTTGACGATGAAGATCTCGAACTCAAGGACCATGTCACCTCCGAGATCACTCTGTACTTGTGTGCTTGTCTCGCCGGGAGCCCGTCTAGACGAGCTAGGAAGCTCTCTGGACACGCTGTCCTCAGAAACGTCAGAGTTTGAATAGCTGTGATCACCGGCTCTGCCAGCAGTCCTGGGTGTGGCCGGCGCATCTCGAGAATCATCGCGCTCTCGATCGGCACTCGCGATCATGCCGCCGAAACTGAATCGCCTTCGATGACCTGGCGTATGTGCGGCAGGACTACCTGGGGGGTCCTGCACCTTCTTAAGATCAATGCTTGGAGTGTGTCGACACGCAAAGCCGCCCTTAATCTCAGTATAGTCCACGCCAAGTCCCCTCAGGACCCTTCTGATGTCGGTACGGATCTCAGGAACAGACTTGCCCGATGTTGTCGACACGCTGAAAAGACCTTTGAGAAACACTGGCTTGGCAAGGTCAGAGCTGTCCAGCCTCTCAGTGGACACACCGCTGTGGTCCCCAGCCTCCTGATCTGTCTCCTCCGGAACATTTGCTTCACGGGCCTCTTCCCTTCGAAGACGCCGCTGTTGGATGCTCTCGCGCCTGGCATGGCCCAACGATTTCGCCCTCAAAGATATGGATCGCGACTGCCCGACAAATCTTTGCTCCGACCGCGGTTTATCGTCAGTAGCAGATCTGTCTGATCCGCTAGTAGGTGGCGGTTCCTTTGAGCCGCGACTTGAGTCACGGCGTCGGAGATCAGCCGAGTTAACGCTAGTCGATCTACCCAAGCCTTTGCGTCGGGAGCCGAAATGCCCTCCAGCGGAAGGCGGAGGACTGAGGAGGTCTTTGTGCTGTGGCTGGCTGTCATCAGAGCGGAGACCAGAGTCGCTGGGTTCATCGTGATCCCTCCGACTCCTTCGTATGCTGAAGCTCTTGCGAGGGGCTGATGGCGCCTCTGAAGGCGAGCGGACTTGAACAACAGGAGGATGCGACCGGTCTTTGTCCAGCCGCTCTGGTTCCCGACGTCTGCGAGTGCTGAACCGTCTCAAAATGCCTGCCGCTGTGCTCTCCTTCTTGGGCGGTCCATCAGAGTACGGTTCACTAGGCTGAGCAATGGCTGGGGACAGTTGTGCGCGTACCAAGGCTTCCGGTTCGTCGTCTTCCCCATGCGTTCGTGCGCGAGGGCGGGACCGCCCACCAGTCGCCCTCTCGCCAGGCATTTCGTATGCAGCCGTATTAGTGTGGGCTGCTTGAGGCGGTGTTATTTGCGGCGGGTTGTGGTCTTTTGCAGACTCTTTGTCCTTACCCTCCTTCTGTTGGAGGGGTGTTTGCGCTGGCTGGCTGACCTGCCCAGGGTGGAGCTCGATACGATCGCGCTCTTGTTTTTCTCGTACCAGGTAGTAAATCGATACCAGTGGGCTAAATGCATTGAGGGGGTCACTGCCTAGCTGCAGACCCTCAGAGCTTGGGGCAGTGAGCGTGTCCCGACTTGTGCCTGAGTTGCGCCGTTTGTAGAAATCGAAACCGAACCCCCGCCTCTTCTCTACGTCCCTTGTAGGCTGGGGAAGCTCCTTCTCTCGCTGGTATGTCCGTACTGCTCGCTGATATTCCTCAGACTCAATGGTCCGGGTGAGCTGAGCCTTGATGTTGTCGGGCGACCCAAAGTTGAATCCCGTCATTGCAGTGATGACCTCGGGCTCTAGAGGTAGCGTCAGAGGTTCTCGCAAAGGTAGGTAGTTATCTGGCGGACTTCCATAACCTTTGAGCATCCAGGGGTGGCTCATGACTTCAGGCATAGCCGCCCGCTGTTTTGGGTCGGTCACAAGCATACGCGACAAAAGGTGCTTACAATCTGCATAGGAAGGTCTGGGTCAGCACAACCTTGTGTGGTCATAGTTAGGGCAATTGCGCAGGCTCACCGCTGGATAACCAGTTTGGATAATCTACAAGTCCTTTCTTGATCTTTGCATGGAGCGCAGGCATACTCTGGTCGTCGAAGGGGACTTTACCACAAACCAGGACGTAAAGGACAATACCGAAACTCCAGACGTCCACCTCGGGGCCGGTATAAGCCCGAGCCTGAAGTAGCTCTGGGGCGGCGAAGTACAGGCTGCCACAAAATGTCTTGAGGTGGCCCCTGGGTGCAAACAAGTTACTCAGGCCGAAGTCGATAATCTTGATGTCACCATTCTTGCTTATCAAAATGTTCTCGATTTTGAGGTCACGGTGGACGATGCTGTTCCGATGGCAATAATCGAGGGCACTGGCGATTTGCCGACTGAACTTGCGTGCTTGCTTTTCTTTGAGCTTGCCATGGGATATGATGTAGTCGAGCATCTGGCCACCGTTGACGTACTCGAAGAGCATGTACCAGTGGTAGTTGGTTCGAACTACGTCACGCATGCCACAGACATGTGGGTGGTTCAGTAGGGTGACAATGGCCGCTTCTCTGGCTGTACGGATCTCTTTCGATTGGTCTGCGCGTTCTTTGTCTGCACGGCTGTGGTGGCCGTCTTCCGTTGATCCACGAGGAATGATCTTGCAAGCTACCTGCATGTTCACCATCATTAGTATCCTTCTGATTCTCGTGAACACTAGGGATAGCGGAGTGAGTTTCAGCGGGCGCACCTGTTCAGGGCCATCTTCCTTGCGAGCCAACTTGACTTTGCCCATGCTGCCGGCCCCAATGGTTTTACCTAAGATCCATTTGCCTGATGATGTCGGGATGGTTGTTCGACCTCGTCCTTGCTTTGTAGTCGAGGAACTAGGCCCTCTGGAGTCAGAGACAGGCGTGGGGCCACCTGAGTTAGCGACAGTACTATTGGCAGCCATCTCGTGCTGCATCTGACGGCGATTGTTGGTTGTGGATTTGGTGCTGCTTCGGCGCTGAGGGCGGGTATGATCTCCTCGAGGGGCAGAAGGCGTCTGCTCGCTGTCTCTGTCTCTATCCTTGTCTCTGGCTGAGCTCCGCATGGAATATGTGGCTACGTTTGTTGTTTCCCGATCATACTCATGGTGAGCAAGGACGTCTTGAATTGGGCGCGTTGCTGAAGGTTGTCGAGAGTGAGATTGTGAGCTGGGATGACGCTGGTGGCGGCTGGTTATCGAAGTCGAAGTCGAAGCAGCTCGTTGCAAAGGCTGCCCGCTTGAAGTAGGGACGACAGGAGGCTGGCGGGAGCGAGTGGAGTACGAGCGCGATGCCTGGTGTTGACTTTTTTGAGGGGGCAGCTGTGCAAAGTTTTCCGCGTTGGTCGTATGGGATGATTCAAATGTCATGGCGGAGAGATTGCTTCGCAATGCAAGAGAACGCGATGTCAATCAGATCTCGAGGGAGACACCAGACATGCAGTGAAAGAGAGCAACAGAGGCAGAATGGAGAAGGGGTAGACAGGTTGTCGTAACACACTACCTGCCACTGCCTGCTTTACTCGCGCGTGTGGCTGGGGGTACGGGCTGGCAAAGGTAGCGCGCCCCACCAAGGTACATGGTACTACTATCTCTGAGGAAGAAGACACCTCCACATCCTGCCACCCTTTATGGATGGGTCTAGCGGGATCTTTCCATCAGGTTTCAATCGGATAGGCACAGGTCCATACTATTGCTACTTACTCCGAGGGAGATTTACGATAAGGATGACGGGAGCATAAACAGAACTCGGAATCTCGTCGGGTCAGATTCGAATAATGAGACTGGAGTAGGTATCATCTATTCAAGCCAGGCCTACCCATTCATTCACCTTGGTTGCTGCATAGATACCTAGGAGGCTGCTTGCTGTACGCTAAAACAACACGCGCCAAAGATCGATCCAGCACCTCGATTGTAGAGGGAAGCCGCGTTGGGTTGGGGTTTTTTATTTCTTTCTCTGCCGGCTCCTGTTGTATCTTTAGAAACTGGGCCACGTTCAGACGCTGGCAATTTACAAAGTAGACAGCTTCCCTCGCTCAACACACGAGACTTGGCTTCAGAGGGAGAGAGGGGAAAGGGGGCAGGTTGGGAAATTGCGATGCCGAATAGGTGGCGTATGTAATGTAGAGAGGCGAACCCCCTGGCCTGCTTGGCAAGAGCCAGAGACTTCAGGCCAGAGAAGTGATAATGGTGCCAAGAGTGCATACGGCTGGCATAACTTCTGGTTCCCATGATCCTGTACCACATTTGCACCTTGGGGACTACAGTCACGGGGTAATTACACACCCAGGCAGCGGGTGCTGCTGACAGAGTTCAAATCTCCCTCCCTTCCCTGTACCTACCTAAGGTAGGTAGGTAGTTCTGAAGGCCTACTAGAGAGGTGCTGACTACAGTCATACGACAAAAGAAACGACGGAGCTCCATTTTACACTAAAATATATAGTTTTCTAACCTCTCTAACTTGATCTATAAAGTAGATTAAATAATAATAGTAATAATACTATTAGAGCTTTACTAAATCTATAATCTCTATTATTTAAATTATTAATATCTTCTATATTATATAAGTAACTAAGGCTTAAAGTTAAGTAACTTCTTCTACTCTATTAATATTAATTTTATTAATTATAGGAACTAGCTATAGCTAGCTTTTCTATTATATTAAGTAATAACTTCTCTACTTAGTAGTATTAATCTTAGATCTTAAAACTTATTATTAAGTTTTTTAATTTTAAGAACTTTACTACTTTAGCTTTAAGTCTATATATCTAAGTAAGTACTAGGCCTATAAGTATAATATCTTAATATAGTATAGATCTAGTAAGTTTCTAATAGTATTATTATTATTATTACTTAACCTATTTCATATAATAAGCTGGAGAGGTTAGAAAACTATATGTTTTGGTGTAAAATGGAGGTCTGTCCTTTCTTTTGTCGCCCCACTGTACCTTAGGTAGACCCACTCGGGGTAGCCCCATCCACCACCATCAAGCAGACCCAACCGTATGCTTATCGATAAACTAGTTACCTCCAAGCCTTGGACCTCATTGATATATCCATCGCAACACTAGGTGCATCGACCTCCGAGCCGTGTACTCTAGGCATTTTCCATCGTTTTGCAACGAATCCAACACACAGCGGGCTTCCATTTTCTCCATGTCACACAAAAGATCCCGCACGACATACGAAGCAGACCTTCCTGCCGAGGGTTCTCTATTCGTTCTAATTGGCACGCCTCTACCTCCACCCAACGACTATGTACCCGACAATGGCTCATATATTCCTCTTCATAAACAGGAGGTAAGAGATGAGCAAGGCCGACGGCGACTCCACGGCGCATTCACCGGAGGCTGGAGTGCAGGATACTATAATACAGTCGGATCTAAGGAAGGATGGACTCCTGGAACGTTTGTCTCGAGTCGAAGTGCTCGTCACAAGGATATTCCTGGGGCCCAGCCACAACGACCGGAGGACTTCATGGACGACGAGGACCGCGAAGCAGCGCTAGAAGACGAGAAGATACAACTGTCCGAAGCGTTCACTGCCAGCGCAGTGGGGGGGAACGCAAGAGCTTTTGGCAGAGGACTGTCGGATCTGATATCTCATGGGGACGCTTCATTAGGCCTCGGCTTACTGATGAAGATGGGGTGGAGGGAAGGTCAAGGTATCGGACCTAAGGTGCGTCGCCCAGCACGACTGCACGATACCGAAGCCCTCAGCACGCACGTGCCAGAATCGCACCTTTTTGCGCCTGATGACGTTGCCGTCGTGGGTGTCATCCGCAAGATCGACCACCACGGCCTCGGATATGGAGCCATGTCCGCTCATTGCACGCACGAGCCCGCCGGCTTTACTCGCCGAATGAGTGAGGAAGATGTGCTCAACCTCGACGGTTTTGGGATGACGGGGTCCAGCCGCTCCCTGATGGCTGGCAGGTCTAAGGACACAAAAGGCCAGGGTGGTGGCATGGGGTTCGGTATGCTCAATGATAACGGTTCTGATGATGATGATGGCTATCAGATGGCACCTAAGATTTCTCGAACTAGGACTCTGACGGGCTTGAAGAAGAGGAAGAAAAAGAAGTTGTCGTCAGGTACAGTCTTGGCAAACCCGGCCCTTGGCTCTAAGCCAGCATTCAAGTCACAATCGACAATACTCAAGCAAAGGGATGGCCGACTTTGTCGAGATGGTTCATCACCACTCCCGGGGTTTGTGCTGGGCAACATATCGGTTTCTTCCGAATCCTTCGGTTCTTCCGTTACAGCCTCTGATCTCCCATCTGTCCCCCAAGGATGGAGATCATCTAAGCACCAGTCATGTGAGGCAGGTGAGGCTCCGGCTGGCATGCTTAACGTACTTTCAAGTGCACGGAACTCAACTCCCCACAACCCCCGGTCTCGTGCTCTTGCTCTAGGGGAGGCTCCGTTGCCGGGGAAGTCCATATTCGACTTCCTGTCTAACGCAGCCCGCGAGCGCCTCGTGGCAGCCTCGGGTCGAACAAATCTACCACCCGCTGGTGGCGAAGCCCTACTGGCTCAAAGCAGCAAAGACTGTCACGAAGGCTCTAACACGCGTCGGGGGCTTCCAGTGTTAGACAAGGAGACGGCCGTCATTGCCATCGAAAGGGGCAAAAGTGCTCGGGGGCCATATGCGGATGACGAAGCAAAACAGTCACGATACAGAGCGTACCTGACACATTCTGCGGGCTTGATCTCTGATTATCCAGCGAAGCCTGACTCGCTGAGCTGGAGAGAGTTCGCTCAAGAGCAAGAGGAGTTTTACGGCTGTGCTCAGTTATTCAGACCCATGACAGGCATCATGGCAACACGATTTACAACATCTACTCACACCCATATGTCGTCCGATTCCATGAATACGGTCGAATCTGGCAGACGGTCATCGTTACCCAACGATTCTCAACCGCTGGATGGTGCAGAACAAGCAGCTCAATTGGGACTCTATGGGCAGCTGACAAGATCGGAGCAGGATTTCTTCCCCACCAGACTTCTTTGCAAAAGGTTCAACGTGCCATTTCGAGACCCCAACCCTGTTAGCCTCGAACCGTCGCAGGCTCGACCTACTGTCACCCTGTCATCTCTAGACACAGGGCAGTTTCTAGATGATCGCAAAGAGGAACTACTGAGCACTGAGAACATTAACAGACTCCTGTCAGCGGGACCTTCTGAGCCTACCAGCAACTGTGGCTCTTCACTTCAGGCACTTGGGACCACGGCTGTGGCAGCGGCAGCGGCAGGCCTGAACAGTGATGGTACGACGGACAAAAAACCGGACCAAGACGTCTTCAGAGCCATATTTGGCGACGAAAGTGATCATGACTAGACAGAACTCGAACATTCGGCAATACCAGAAGAATACATACGCCTATGTGAATGTACGAGTGAAACGATTCCCGCCTTCGTGACACTTGAGGTCGCAACTCTTTGTCTGGAGTAGCTTTATGATACTGCGACAGCTTACAACTAATACCCAAGCACTTTATTAGTCTTTGAATTCTTTGTTTGTCTGTCATCCTAGCAAACTGGGACACCAGAAGTTAGGACTGGTGGGGTAGACAGGGGGGTTAAATGAGGAGGCACGTTAGGCGGTATTAATTAGCCGCCGGCCGGGGTTGGGCGGTGAATGTCGGCCATTTGTGGACGCCTAGTCTTTTATGGCTGTTGCCCATTCACCTTAGTGCCTGCAACACAGCAGACGCCAACTGTGCCGAAGTATGCCTGCTCTCTCTCGTGTCCTCCCATCCGCTATCATCAAGAATCCGCCTTCCAACCTCGCCCATCAACCACTCGGCTTTCCTGTCGGAAACACATAAACACTAGCTCGACGCCCCAGAATTGTCCACTCTGATCGTCGATATCGTTCTCATATGTGCGACCACCCACACTCCGAAATTTGGATGACAAGCCACTTGACCACCAGCTAACTAACTCTATGGTAGCTCGATTCGGCACAAAGGAGTCGTTGGCTCTCGACACAAGACGGGCTCCCATCCGTTCAAAGCTGAAATTGTGTTGCAATCCCGCTACACATAGTCAACGTTTGTCTGGCTATTATTAATCTTCCCGACAACGTTTCTCAACCCCCAGATATACAGGACGGCCCGTCCCTCTCCATCCAAGCATCACCATCGAGCCCATCGAAGATCTGGATTCTTTCAACTCGCGACCAGTCAACCGGACAAGCTCCCCGCCTCCCCAGTATCGGGTGCCTGTGGCGTCTTCCTCCTCCTCCAGGCCGCCCCTTTTTTCATCCATTTACGCCTGTCGTGAAACCGACAACTTACGGACGAACACTGTAGACTTCTCGAGTCATCCTACAGAAACATCTCTCGCTGAAGGTTTCTCGGCGGCTCCGGCCTACGTGTCTACAGGGTTGCATTCGACAGACCCTCAAATCGACCGGCCCTTCTCCCACGAAGCACCTGCAGAGACAACCAAGCGAGCGCTTCATCTACCAGATACACCACGGGACGTCTGCTCGAAGTACGACGAAACCGAACCGCCACCCGCTTACTCGGAGGGACCCAGTCCCCTCCCGTCTTTCACGTTCGTGATGGCGACTGCCGGGGGTGCATCGAGCATTATTACCCAGGTGCAGCAGGGCGGACCGCCCGTCAACGCTATCGGAGGTGAGCTTTGAAAATGTTAGCCGTGACCGTCTAGAATGCTACTAATCCATTCAAGATGTTGGTGCGGACGAGACTATCACGATGGATCTCCGGTACGCTTTCTTTTATCCCGTTGCGCGCCATCGACCCGTGACTGATCAATCAATTAGAGGCACAAGATTCGTTTTGTCTCGAGATGAGCTTCTGACTTTGCCAGAGTTTGTTCTACTATCCTTGTTCCCCAATGGACTATTCCCAGAGGGGCAAATGGGTGGGTTTGCAGATGGGGATGCTGTCCAGGTTGATGTACGTGTAGCCTACCCGACTGGAGCACGACTTGTCTGAGCTTGCCACTTGAGTTGGCGCGAGTGTAAGGAGCTGACATGGTGGCTTAGTATGATCCTGTATCGCTGCAGTACATGCTGGACTTCTTTCGCAATGTGGCCCAATCAATTCCCATGGAATCGTCGCCCAATGCTTCGCAGGATGGCGACGCTGTGCCTCTTGAGCCATTGGGATCCCGAGACGACGCTTCTCGGCGGGCTGGAATCATAGTCTTGCGAGAAGACCTCGACTTTTATGTCATTCCTCCTCGTCCGGATGTCGGGCAACTTGAGATGATCGAGATCAAAAGAGCCGCTGCCAAGGCGTTACTGAGTCAGGGGGGGATCTTCTCTGGGCTGAAGCGGAGCGATGAGCCGGGTACGACCGAGGCCCACCTTATTGAGATGCTGACAGCTGGGTACGTTCACCACGCGACGGCTTGTTGCGTGATTCTTGCTGACAGGAAAGCAGCGGGTTTAATCATGATGATTCATGGGGTCACCGGGCGGGAGAGCCCAACAAGGCGGTGGTATGCAGCCTTGCTCTGGCACGCCTGCGTAGTGACATCAGGGGCAGTGAGATGGGCAGCAACGCGGTTGGTATGGCTCAGAAACTCCTCCTTTTTTGGCGGAAACCTGCTAGGAGGTGCTGGTGGGAAGGTGTCGAGCTTGAGGATGTTGAGGGTGTCGAGGGAAAGCTCAAGGTGTGGATCAGGCGTGTCTGGACCCTGGAAATGAGTGTTATTGGCCTTCGTTGAACCACGATAGAGGGGGACTACCAATCGTGGTCCGCCTCAGTTCCTTCTTTTGTTGCTAGCGATAAGCTTTCTGTTGGACAGGTGAGAGAGGGCGGCGGGAGGTTTCAGTATGGACGAGGAAAGACGATCGTCGATAATGTATCTACAAATGTCCGTGGTTGTATTGCACCTGCTGCACTACAATGCCGTGTGGGTGAGGCGCAAGCGGCGTCTACGAGCACCATGATTGCTATTCTTGAATCATCACGTCCTAATAATGGACTCGTTTCTCGACGTGACAAGCCTATGAGTAAGCACACACTGTCGGCTGCAGGGTAATTGGCATGCACATACGAGACTGAGCATTGTGCCATGTAATTCTTTTGTGTGTGTGCGAATGGCTGGTGAACCAGGGCTCGAGTTGATATGAGGCAAGATCAAGCAGCAAAGGTGGGTTCTGCTTTCGGACTAGGGTCTTGTGGCTAGGCGAGCATCTCCAAGGTGGTAGAACGAGATCTTGTGATGATGATTACGCTCACCAGCTTCAAGTATTACTCAGGTACATAATAACTGTCCCTGAATTTTCCGTTTGCACCACTTGGTCCATCTGCCTCGCACGTTTAAGATTTCTCGACTCCCAATCAGCTCACTGTGTTTTTTTTTTCTTGAAAGAATGAGATTCGCTTTGCTGCCTCTTTACCTTGCTGTCGAAACCTTTTGTGTCACGGGTAGTATACGCACAGAGCTGCAGCAATAGTCTTACAACCTCGCGGAGTCGGCCCGTCGTTGCGGACGGCTGGTCCTTTGGTATCGTGGCCAGCGAGCTGTCCAAGCCGCGAAGCATTTTGTTCGATAGCAACGGCGCACTTCTCGTCGTTGGCTCCGGCGTTGGTATCAAGCGGCTACTACTCGAGGACGAGGGTGGCACATGCATGTACGCAAAGACCGGGAGCATGATCGTGGAGTCTCCTGAGGTCAGTCAACTCATCAAGTCTTGTGGCAGTTTGCTCGATTGACATGCGCGTGGCCGTTGTCCAGCTCAACCACGGCATCGCATTGTCCAACGATGGACGAACACTGTATGCCTCGACACCAGACAAGGTATTCGCATGGGTCTACGATGCCACTAATGGCAAGGTTAGCGAAAAGAACAAGACTGTGATTAAGGACATGTACAATGCAGGACATACCTCTCGAACACTTCTCGTGTCCGACAAAGCTCCAGGCTTGCTCGTCGTGTCACGGGGTTCTGAAGGCAATGTAGATGCCATGGCCCTGAGGCGGGCATCTGGTCACTCGCAGCTTCGTGTTTTCAATGTCACTAGCATTGCTACTGACGGGGAAGCTTCCAGTTTCTCCCGCGACGGAAAAATATCAGGATGGGGACTTCGCAACTCAGTTGGCGTCGTCGAGCACCCTGACGATGGGGGAATGTGGTCGGTGGAGAACTCCGTGGACAACCTGGAGCGCGATGGTGTTGGTATACACCCTAGCAACCCTGGAGAGGAGCTGTATTTTCACGGCTTCCTCAATGGCTCGACTTATAGTCAAGAGGCAAACTACGGCTATCCCATATGTCTAGCATTATGGTCGACGGATGGCTTCCCAAGACTTGGTAACATGAGCACTGGAGACCAATTTGAAGCCTCCAACGACCGCGCAGACGATACATCAGGTTGCAGTACTCAATACACAGCACCTGACCTTTCAGGCACACTCGGCACCTCTGGACATCGTGTTCACGCCAGATGGATCGGAGGCTTTTGTCACGTTTCACGGCAGCTGTATGGCTTACGAAAAAGGCATGACTGAATGGCCTGCTGACTTACCTATTAGGGAACCGCGAAAAAGCGGTCGGCTATGCTCTATCTAGTAATGTTTTCGACCAAGGCTCCCCCAAAAAGCTAGCGAATAGCACGAATGCCGTCTATAATGTCATGTACAATGCAGACCTCAACGACTGCCCCAGCCAGTGTTCTCGACCCTTTGGTCTGGCCTGGGACAGAATGGGCAGATTATTCATGACATCTGATTCAACAGGTGAAATATTCGTGCTCGAACGAACCATGGGATCGACATCAGAGGGTGTCCCTGGTCACACTGCACACCCGTCGTTGGCAACAACACCGGCTGTTGACTGGTCATTTCTGTTGGTAGGGGTATTTCTGGTGACTCTGCGAAATACATAGAGGAAGGAACAGGGCGATATGAACTGGCCTCTCATGCCATTTAAACGCCCCCCTTCCCGGTTCGCAGATAAGGCGGCTGTCATTCGGGACCACACAGGTCTGGATCACGTACTGGCATACAACAACCCCTATTGGGGTTTTTACCGCAATACTACCTGCCCATGCGAAGTGAAGCAGGTCAGTTCGAACGTGTAGCTATGCCTTGCTCTATTGATGTGTGTTTCACAAGTTACTCTTCAATGCTCTTCACGCATTCCCACTCGCCCCTCAGGTTCTCCTTCCAAAGCGTCACCTTGTTATCGCCTCCGCTCACTGCCAACACATTTCCACTCAGCGACCAGCTCACTCGCCACACAGCTGAGTCGAAGCTTAGAACTTTGCAGGCCCACTGGCCTTGGGCAGAGGAGTCGGACGTCCAGATACGGACTGTTTTATCCTGCGAAGCTGATGCAATGTATGACTTCTGAAGCACAGTCGGGGACCAGGCGACATCGCGCACCCAGTCCGTGTGGCCCTGCAGAGCATCGCCCTCCAGCTTGTAAGCCTGGGATGTCGAGTCGAAGGACCAGATCTTGACGAGGTTGTCGCAACCTCCAGTGGCAAATCGTCGAGCGCCCGTCGACCCGGGTCCGGGGGAACTGCCCACAATGCTCCCCGGTGCCGTAGCTGGGGCCCACGAGACAGAGTTGACGCCAAGCCCATGCGCCTGAAAGGTGCTATGGTCGTAGTTGTTGTCTCTGAACTCGAGAACACTGACGTTGCCATCAGACGAGGCGCATGCCAGCAGGCAGCCCGACTCGTGTGGTGACCAGGATACAATGTTCACAGACGCCTTGTGCAAGGCAAAATCGAATATCTTCTGCCAGCCCGCCTGTTCCCTCCACACGAGCACCTTGCCATCATATCCTGCCGATGCTAGAATGTTGCCGTACTTAGGGTGCGCCCATGCGACGCACCATACTGCTCCCTCGTGTCTGCGGCATCCATGATTAGCACGACATACGTAGCTCCCGATTGTTGTCTAGGCCAGGGGTGGAAGTGGGATATTTACACACCCCTTAAGCGTTTCAATGAGACGTTGAGTTTCGCCCTCGAGCTCAAAGATCTTGATTGTACGATCGCTGGAACAGGTTGCGAGCCGGCGGCCGTAGTAGTCGAGAACAGCATCATGCTGGAAGTTGAAGCCCGGATTAGTTCAAGTAAACTAGGCCGTACATCCACCCTCCAAACCTCTCACAGGAGTTGAACCACGACGTCAACTTACAATCATGTCGTCGTGACCCGAGTTTGCGATAGTATGACT